AACTTGCCCTTGGTTCTGCTGTCACTCCTTGCGGTCTTACGGTTTGTCAGAACCGAAGGGGAGTTCTCAGCAATTGGACGCCCAAAAGCGTGCCAGCCCGGCCGCACTCGCTGACTCAGTACGGGCAGGGCCGGCAGGTACCTCGGGCGTTCATTACAGCTGCCAAGCAGGACCTCGCCTGGGGTGAGTTCTAAGAACAGCCCTAGCTTGGACTCTCGGGAGGGTGGGTGACGCCTGAAGGCTATTTTGCCGGCCTTGGTCGGGTCAGAACACCGGTAGTGCGGTCGATAAGCTGACTCCCACCTGGGTTGTCTCAGTTGTGCGTACAGAACACCCCCTTCCAAGTTGACATTGCTGGGGATCGGGGGGGTTTCAGCTGGGAGCGGGCCTGTTTGACTGGGATTGGGCTTGTGGGGCATGCCCTGTTCAGGGGGGACACAACAGTAAGCTGCTCTGAATATAGTCTTATTATTTTAGAAGTTGTTGATTTATGTATTGATGGTGTTTGTTGGTAGGACATTCGACTAAGGTAAGGAGGTGTACTGAGTGTGGGTGGCTGAACCCACATCCGGAGGCAGAAGGGCTGTTAGACAAGGGATTAAAACAGTCAGGACTGATTAAAAATGGACCGTGAGTTTGATCGGGAGCTAGATGACGGGGGATGGGCACCCCCAGAAAATGCAGTGTGAAAGCCACTAGGAAAGCAGATCCAGGTGGTGAAGGAAGCCATAGAAGGGGCAAGTGGGGAAGAAGATAAGGATAAGGAGGTAGCTGACGCCTGGGAGCGTATGTGTGCAGTGGTCCGGGGTGCTGGACAACAGATAGGAGGCAGGCGCTCATTGGGAGAGCTATTGTGGAAAACGGAGAGAGAGCATGCTAGGCTGAGGGACGAAGCAGCACGCCAGAGAGCGAGCGCTAATCTGATGCAGAAGTGGGGGAAATAATTACGTACGCAGTTTTGGGCTAAATCGGGGGAAGCCCACGTATATGTTCAACAGATAAGTTGCAAGTAAAGATGTATAAAGCAGAAATAAGTACAAAGTAGAAGAGATCAAGTTAGCAGGGGTCAGGATAGGGCATTTCTGCATTTCCATAAAACGTCATTGACAGTAGTGGAAGTGC